GAGACACACCTGAGATACACCTGAAATACACCTGAAATACACCTGAGACACACCTGATGCTCAGGTGGTTGTATGAGGAGCCTGACTGATACAAAACTCTAATTTCATTATCTTGTTTGTTTATGTAAACAAATATTAGATTTTTGATGTTATGTTTTCGGGCCATATTTATGTTGTTTGTTTACTCTGTAAACATGTTTGTTGTTCTGTTTGTGTGTTTTCTCTCATTCTCTCGTCCGGAGAGGTCTGGACCAGAGTAGCTTCTGTCCTGGTTTCAGTGGACGAGGATCCGTCACTCTGATTGGACGATACAGTGACTCAGGTGTTATTAATGCAGTAAAAACCCAAAGAGAAGAACAGAAGCCTGAAGAACCTCAAACAGAACCAGAGGTTTTAAAACAAGAAGCAAAGTAAAGAAAATAAAATAATAAAAGAACAAAAAGAACAAAAAAATAAAAAATCTAAAAGAGTCCAGAGAGGTAAAACAGGTTCCTTTATATCAAAGAAAGAAAATATGTTTTCTTTTAATGAGCCAACATCTAAAATTAAATTAATCTTTATCACTTTCCGATAATTACAAAATTCATAGCTAATGATTATGAGAATACTACCTGTCTTCACTTGTCCTATCAAAATAAAGGCATAAAAGGAAAAAAAAATTTTTTTTTAAAAGCGACAAAAAAAATTTACGTCATAATTATGAAAAACAATTACGAGGCGTCTCTGAAATCACATAATTATAACATTCATACGTAATAATTAATAATAAATATATAATGAGAGAATAACTAATAAAGATCTTAATAAATAATGAGATGTTAACTCATTAATACAAGAAAACATTTCTTTGAGTTTTCCTCGTTTTCATTGGTCGGTCCGTCGGGTGTTTGGCTCCTCACAGGTGTAACGTGTCAGTATTTCCCGTCCTCTCAGGTGTGTTCGCACTATAACCGAGGATCTGGTCCTTACGGCAGCTGCACCTTCCAAGAGAGCTGCACCAAAGTTCACCTGTGCCAGCACTTCGTTCAGGGCGACTGCATGTTCGGGCTCAAGTGCAAGCGGCAGCACGCCATCGATCAGCACGGCCGCCGCATGTTGGAGGAGAGAGGGCTGAGCGGAGACATCATCCGGGAGCTGCCCTTCATGTACAGGAACATCCACCACCTCGCCGCCGCCGCCGCCTCGACCTCCACAGGTGACAGAACACACCTGTATGGACAGATGTTTCTCCTCCATCGATCTCCAGCTCGTGTTGATGTTTGTTTGTTTGTGTTTCTGTCAGAGAATTTAACAGATTCTTCGTGGACGCCTCAGACGGACGACAGGAACGACATCTGCCTGCACTTCATCCGAAACAGCTGCAAGTTCCAGAGTGAGTTCATGTTCATGTTCAACTTCATCTTCATCTTCATCTTCATCACACTGATTCACTGAGAGGAAACATGCCCCTGCAGTTTCCTTTAAACTCTGCAAGATGGCAGCAAAGTATCAGTTTAAACTCTCCGAGTGAATCAAGTTCAAACAAAACAAAACTGTTTAATATGTTGATTTCCTGTAAACTAACTGGAAAAACGGCAGACTATTAGAGTCAGTACACAGCATACACCGACCTGTGGAGTAATGTTTTGTTTTTTTTTACTTGTCAATCAAAGAGTTCTGAAACATAAACTGCCAAAAATGTGTCTTATTTTGAAAATTCTGTATAGGTACATTTTTTTTCATACAAGCTCTGTCTCTTTCTCTCTCTAATTCTGATTTATTCTTCTAAACTGATTTTTTCTAAACATACATTATTTTTTATTCTAACTCGATTTAATTTTTGTCTAAATAAATAGATTTTTCTTCTAAAGAGATTAAAATAATTACTATCTTTGGCCGATTGTATCATTACAAAAAACACATTTCACACATGCAGTTTTCATATACACATTTAATTTTGTGTTTCTGTAACCTTTAAAGGTCTGTAGGATTTAGTGCCATCTAACGGTGTAGCTTCATTTCACACTTCACATTTTAAGTTCTCGTCTCTTTGTGTGTAGACGAGTGCCGCCGCGTTCACTTCCACCTGCCCTACAAGTGGGAGGTGTTTGATGGCATCACCTGGACGAACCTGCAGTACATCGAGGACATCGAGCGGGATTTCTGTGACCCGTCTAAGACCCAGAGGTCAGAGGTCACGTCTCACCGTTGTGCAGGTTTGAAGATGATCTGCTGTAGGCGAGGCGCCGACTGACACTTTTCTGTTTTCAGCTGCAGCAATCACCCCGTCGACTTCCAAACAATGAGGCAGGGGTTGCAGCCCGTTCGCCGTCTCTCCACGGTTTCCTCGGTAACAAAGCCGCCTCACTACACCCTGACAACGCAGTGGCTGTGGTACTACAAGGGGGACCAAGGGAACTGGGTGGAGTACGGACTGCCGGTGAGTCAGTTTTAACCTAAAGGATTAAATGTCTTTCGACCTCTAAATCAAATCAGTGCTGACTGGGATCATAAGATTAGCATCTTAGCGACTATGCTAACCCATCTCTGCCTTCCTCAGGATGAAAAGCAGCGCAGCACATCAGTGACATCGCGGATGCTGGAGGAGGTGTTTCTGTCAAACAGAACAGCAGACGTCAAAGTGGTGAAAGGCCAAAGACAATACGTCATCAGCTTCAAAGGTACTTCTTCCTGTCACCTCCTATCAGTGGTTTACGAGTCTTAAGAAAATTCAGAGTCAACTTCCAAGTCAAATCCTGGGTGAGCACAATTAAGTCCCAAGTCACACCCTTAGACAGATCCTAGACAAGTACAAAGTCAAGTCAAGAAAGTTAAGTCTTACGTCACGTGCCAAGTTAAAGGCAGACAGGTAAGACTTAAATCCAGTGAAAGGTAAGTCTCAAGACAAGTAAGCCGAAGTCACTTACTAAGTCAAGTCCCAAATCAAGATTGGCAATCCCTAAATTAGACAGGAAGGTCCCAACATCAAGTCCCTTCAAATTCATATCCTGGGAAAGCACAAGTAAGTCGCAAGTTACATCCTTAGTCAAGTCCAAACACAATCATAATTGGCAATCCCCAATTTAGACAGGAATGTCCCAAATTGAAGTCCCAATTCAGGTCCAGTGTCAAGACTAGTTCCTAAGACAAATTCCAAAGCAAGACAGGTAAGTCCCATTAGATGTTTCAAGTATGAACAGGAACGTCCCAAAGTAAAGTCACAAATCAAGTTGCAAGACATAACAGTTACGTCTCAAGTCGAGTGAGTTTGTTTCTTTCAGTAGTAGGATCCTTGTTAGCACCAGCACTGGTTGGGTTCAGATCCAAATCACTTCCTCAGTCAGGTCCCGAATCAAAATGGGCAATCCCCAAGTTAAAACAGGAAGGTTGCAAAGTCAAGTCGAACTGGATCCAAAATCTAGTCCCAAAACAAGTTCCAAGTCCATCTGGTAAGTCTGGAATCAAGACAGTAAAATCCCAAGTCATGACCAACAAGTCCCAGGTCCAGATTTGTGAGTCCTAAACAAGTTGCTGTGTGTTGTTTTTATTTCTTTTATACAAACTTGAAAACATCTCTGAGCTGAATGTTTTGCATGTCGCTGTTTTTTGTTGAATAAACTGTGGAGACCCTCTTATTCAATGTCTTCTTCATTGCAGACATGTACCAGAGGAACCCCAAACACAACACCAAGAGACGAGTTCGTCGTCGTCCACGCTTTGTCTCCGTGGCCGAGGTGGAGCGACAGGCAGTTCAGTAGAGAAACCACAACCTGATGTGGTCTCTACAGACTGGACCTGAATAAGTGCCTTCTCTTGGTTTAAAACATCTGGAACTGTCACTTCTTGGTTTCCGTCAGTTTCCCTACTTTACTGTAGCTATTCCTGAATGGACGAGTCTGTTACTATTGATTTTGATGGATTTTAGCATTAGCGGTGTGTCAGTCCACCACTATCTCAACAATTATTGGATGGATTGTCATGAATTCTGGTTCAGGTGGACCTCAGGAGATGAATCCTGATGCCAACAACAAGATACTCCTTAAACTTACCACCAAATTCTCATTATGCTAACATTATCATCTGCTGTTAGCTAATATTGGCTATCATTAATGATCGGATTCAACAGGAGAACATGCTAACTGTTTTTATTTTAAGGGAACAGTGCACATGAATGCACAAACACAAAATCTGTTACCATAATGCAAACTTTAGCTAGACTGAAAGTTAAAGACGTCACTTCTTGTTAAGCTTCTGTAAATGCAGTCTTTAATTTTGTTTTTCTGTTTTTGTTAAAAAATTAAGCTTGTTTCTGGATTTTAATTCAGACAATCTTTCAAAATGACAAGTTCAGTGCTTTTAGACAACAAAACCTTTTTCATTTAAACTATCATTAGCTTTTTTTTTAGCATATAAACAAACTACATGTTAACCTCGGAGGGCCGCTGGACTCACGAGAATCAAACTATGCACTTGTGTTGCAGCTTGAAGATTTCACACGTCAAACTTTAAAAAACATATACTCTGTTTTTTGTTGTTTGTGTAAAAGTAGCCGCTTTTAGCAGCCAAAAGTGGGCGTGGCCATTCAAACAATGACATATATACGTTGCACACAGATCTCTGAGCGTCTGTTACATGTTTCTCTGTGATAAAACAGAAATACTTGCACTGGGTTTTAAATTGTATCTGGGACATTTTTTATATCTGTAAAAGTTATGTATTTTAATAGTTATTTTTTGACTTCATGTTGTTCAATGACTCTTCAGCTCAGTTATTCAGTTTGGTTTGTTTTCAGTAAAGTTTTATATCTGTGTTAAGACTTCTTCTCTTCACATCGATTTCACTCCTGCAATAAAAATCAAATGCGAATGAAATGTTCTTTGTTATTTTGGAAAAGATTCTCAACAATTAACATGCAAATAAACTTAACAGCAGCTTATAGCTAATGAGACTCCAGACTATTAGCCACTGCTATCAAGCTACTGCTATCATATATGTACAGTAGGACAATGTTAGAATCACTTTAGATCAGTTATAGAAAATATATTTATTTAAGAAGAAATTGTTGCAGGAAGTGTGAAAATCGGAGAGTAGTGTGTGAAGACATTTTTGAGGGGGAAATAAACTTTTTTTCGT